GAAGGAGATATCTCGGCAGCATAGGCTTCTAAACTTGGAATTGCTGAGGATGTGGAACCATTTTTATTTCTAACTGAGAAATTTTTTCTTTCTATATAATTTATTTTTCAAGTCTTCTATTATCTTTTTTAGGGATATTGAATTTTATTTTCTCATGTGTTAGGAGTCCAAAACATTTTTAACTTGGTAAACTGTAAATTTAAATTGATATCTTTAGGGTAAAACAAATATATTACCTGCCTCTAAACTAAGTAACTGTCAAGGGGAATATGTCCATGGTGGGATTTTTTTTTTAATTTTTTCACTTAATTAGTGACTCAATTAGTAAAAGTCACTATTTACCTATAGAAGAAATATAATTACATTTTTATTTTAATCATTCAAGTGAAAACATTTTGAAAAAATGTTAAAAATAATGATATACTTGAAAGCATTTTTCAAGGAGTAACTTAGAGTATAACAATCAGGTACTATATTATCTTTCATAGTAAATAAATAATGCTTAAAAATTACAGTAATCATGAAATCATTTGAAAATGAAAAAATATTTTGAGTTGAAAATTTAATTATTTGATTTTGAAAACAGGTACTGTAGAATTGTTCATAATATATACATATTTTATTCATAGCTTTTTACATTTGCATTAGGATCAAATGTTTAAATTGTCCCATTTGAGTTTCTTAAGGGCATCAGTCATGTCATTTTCAAATTTATGGTCCCAGGTATTAAGACATTGGCTGGCATATTATCATTTATTAAATAACTTAATATTAGAGAAATGATATAAATGTGGTATTAATATATATCAGTGTCTTACTTTTTTAATTCACTTAAAGGAATGACACAAGATATTATTAAACCAGATTATATTACATCAAGATCTTAAGAGTACTTAAGACTTTGAAAGTAAGCGTATTAGTATAGATTGGGAATTAAATTAGTTTTTATTTTTATTCACCAAGCTTTTTAATAGAAGTCAAGAGACCAAGATAAATAATAAGTCAATAACCCAAACCACATACATTTTACAAATCACTGTACCTTAAGGCATCTTGTAAAATCAAATGTGAATGTGGATTCATCTTCCAGAATGTCACAATAAGGTCTTCTAAAATGGTGCTTCTCTGGGAAAGAATTGTTTTAAAAACCAGTCAAAATGATCAGAATTCACTTTTTCAGACTTTGAAATTAAACAAATGTTTGCAATAACTGTAAAGTATTTATTACAGACAAAAAACATAAAACAAGCAGCCTAGAAAACATGATTGCTGTGAAAAACAGCAGCCCAGAGCCACGGAAGGGTATAGGCTGGGCTTAGAGCTCCGCAGAAAACCCTGTCCCCAGAAAAGTGTAATTATTTGATGTTTCTGAAGCTCCATGGAAAAGCACATGTGCAGTACTTTTCATTACTTGACATGTCTCAAACCTGGTTCACTGGGGAAATCCAACCCCAAGATATTTATTGGAGACGATTAGCAGCCCATTATAGCTACCTGAGTTAGTGATATTAGTAGTGGCAAACAAAAAGCTAAGGAGACCTTAAAACTAAGATCTGAGGAATCTTGGCTTTGGAAAACTCCACATTTTTCCTGAGAACCTAGAATGACATGCTTGGATATGGATATGCAGGGCTGTGTGTATGAACCAGTATCAGCTCTGGTTGAGTCAAACCAGGGAAAGAGTGGTGACCACTAGGAGACTTTACTGGCAGCATTGATGGGGAAATATAGGCTTTATAGAGGTACAAATTACTGCAGGAGGGTCTCACACACACACACACACACACACACACACACACACACACACGCAATGAGGAAGGAAGAAAGAACAGTAGCAAACTGTATCAAATAGCAGATCCTAAGGAGGGATGAAATCTTATTTCCAAAGTATATTATTTGAAACATCTAGTTTTAAACAAAAGTTATGAGACATTTAAAGAATCAGGAAATGGTGACCCTTATATCAGAAAATGAATTTTCAGTAGGAACTTTCCCTCAGGAGATCCACCTGTTGGACTTAATAGGCAAAACTTTGAGCTGTCTGCTGCATATATATGTACAAAGGGTTAAAGGAAGCCATGCTAAATAGAATGTCAAAAAAGAGATAGAAATAATAAAGAGAATGAAATCAATTTTTATAGTATAAAAGTGAAATAACTGAAATAAGAATTTCTGTGGAGTAATTAAACAGGATGATTTGATGTTTTGAACAAAAATTGAGAGATCCTGAAGAGTTCCGTACATCTCAGTTTCACTAGGTCAACTGAAATTATCCAGTCTAAAGAACAGAAAATGAAGAACTGAGTAAAAATGAACATTCTCAGAAATTTACATGTATGTCAGCATCAATCATATGCATAGTGGGAATCCAAGGAAAGCAGAGAAAAAAAAAGGGAAGAATGATTTGAAGAAATAAGACAACTGAAAACTTTTCAAATTTGATGAAAAACATGAACTGCTGAAACCCAGAAGTTTCATGAACTCTAAGAATGAAAACTAAAGAGAAACAAACATCATGATTGAACCTTCAAAACCCCAAATAGAGACCTTGGAAGTGGCAAGAGAATGGCTCCAGCAGTCCATAGGATCAACGATAAGGGTAACATGATTTCTAACAATAAGCATACAGGCCACATGGCTATGGAGTGACATATTTAAGTTCTGGAACAGGAATTAGCAAACAATAGTTTTTCCATCTAGCTAAATAAATTTCCTTTCAAAATTGAAGAAATTAAATCTCTACTAGATTGAGCAACCACGGAGTTTGTCACTAGGAGATTTGCACTACAGGAAACCCTGGACTCCTTCAGAGCAAAATAGGAGAATAGTACCTTGCATACACATGAAGAAATTCAGCATACTTTTTTAAAAAAATGTTTATTTATTTTTGAGAAAGAGAGAGAGAGACAGAGTGTGAGTTGGGGGAGGGGCAGAGAGAAAAAAAGACGCAGAACCTGAATCAGGCTCCAGGCTTTGAGCTGTCAGCACAGAGCCTGACATGGGGCTCAGCTCACAAATTGTAAGATCATGACCGGAGCCGACATTGGACTTAACCAAGTGTGCCACACAGGTGCCCCCAAATTAAGCATACTTTTAACGCTAATTCCATAATCAAATGTAATTGACTGTATACATACATTTTTGTTTGTAATTTTTCTATTCTTCTTACTGATTTAAAAGACAACTGCATAAAATAAAAATGATAAAACTATCATTGGGCTTATAATTTATAAAGATGTAATTCATAAGACAACAGCATAAAAGGAGAAGGGAACTGAGGTAAATTGGAACAAATTTTTAAAGACTGTTGAATTAAATTCGTATTGATTTGAACCAGATTAAATTGTTAATTATATTCTCCAGAATAATAAGATAACTAAATATATAGAAAATAGCAAGTAAACTAAAATTTATATGCACACACACTTAAAAGAAGCCAATGATACAGTGATAAAATAACAGAAAAAACAATTTTATCTATACTGTACAGAACTATGAATTAATAGTTGTGCTTGAGTGTGTCTTACTGCATGACCTGAGAAAATATTCCTCAGGTGAATTACTGTACTTACATAGTTTCCTGGTGCATGGCAGATATTATAATATGTCCCCATTGAATAGATACTTTGTATTGTTTTTCATTGTCACATACTACAAATTGCAAACGCTATTAATGTGCATATCTATTGTAATTCTGGATCCTTTATTACAAACATGTAATGATAGAGCAACAACTTTGTCAGCAATTCCATATGGTTTATTACCCTCTAGCTAATCCTCTTTATGATGAGTTTATCATACAGATTCCATTAAGCACATGTATGTATTTGTCTTCTCTCCGTTCTCTTGGAAGTACACATTTTTACGGGATGGTTTTCCATAAAAAATATTTTTGATGTCAGCTTTTAAAATCTATCCTGAACATCACCTCATGATTTTACAGCCAGTCTGACACCATTTGTGCTTGAAAAAACAAACAACAAAAAAACTCTCTTTTCTGTGTGTGGTTTTTTGTTATTTTTTTGTTTTGTTTTGTTTATGCAATGTGGGATACAAATTTCCTTAGGGATCCAAATGGGAAACATTTTTTTTTTAATTCAATTAATAACATGTTTGATTATTTTATTTTATTTTTTTTTTAATTTTTTTTTAATGTTTTATTTATTTCTAGGAGAGAGAGAGACAGCGTGAGCAGGGGAGGGTCAGAGAGAGAGGGAGTCACAGACTGAAACAGGCTCCAGGCTCTGAGCTGGCAGTCAGCACAGAGCCCGACGCAGGGCTCGAACCCACAAACCGCGAGATCATGACCTAAGCGAAAGTCGGACGCTTAACCGACTAAGCCACCCAGGCGCCCCACATGTTTGATTATTTTAAACAAGCAGATACAACAAATTTAAACAATCAAATACAACAGTTAAAATTAATTACATTTAAAATTAATCATGTATTATATTTTGGAACTGAACCATTTGGCTCCTAGTGCAATAAATATTAATATACCCTTGCTTTCAGCATTTCATATTAAGTGTTTTATGACAAATTGTAACTTATACTATAGAATAATGAAGAATATTTTAAAAATATTTTAATCCAAATTTATCATTTGAAATGTGTATAAAGTGATTGAAAATACTTTTTAAGTTACTCCCATGTTTCCCTTGTACTTAACTGAGAATAAAATCTTATTCTGACCAAATATAATTCCATGCAGCATTTATCAATACTGAGGTGACTTTCTAAGATAATAAGAATGCTCGGTATTTCTAGTCTTAGACTGCCACGGTTTGAAGTAAATTTTCAATACACGTGAAATTTATATATTGAACACAAAGGCCTGCATATATATATATATATATATATTTATATATATATGATATAATTGATTCTAATTGAGTTTATTGAGCTTGAAAAAATGACTATTATCAAGTCATCTAGTTATTATCAACTTTTAAAAGAAACTGATTCTTATTTTATCTGAAGCTCTTCTCCTTCCTTTTCAGGAGCTGGAATTTTCAAATCTATTTGCTGTTCTTCACTGCATTCATTCCTTCTTTGCTGCCAAAGTAGCTTGTTTGGACCCTCTCTTTTTAGGCAATCAGGCTACTGCTTCCGCTGCTCCCAGCTCTGCTACTACAAGCAAAGCCAAGTACACAACTTGACACACTGAACTTTGTTTCGCCGCTTACCGTGACTCTATAAACAGACTAAACGCAGTCATCATTGTAGACCCTGGAGAAGCAAAGGTATCACCAAGTCAGCAGTGAATTCAATTTGAAATTTCAGCAGAAAACAAGAAGATCATAAGGGATCTCAAAAGCATTTCTGTTTTGGAAGCATTTGTGAATAATCTTAAAGAACATAATGGCTCGTTCTCACTCAGTTTATTTCTACAGGTATTTCATCAAAAGTGAAGAAAAAAAAAAGAGTGATTCAAAGTATGTAAATAATATAAAAATTGTAAGCTACCTAGAAATAAAAATACCACTTAAATAGTTATTTCTGTATTTTAGATTATTTTGTATGGCAAATACATGTTGGGCCAGATCATGAACTAATGCCCTATCATTAAATTATAAGTAAAATAAAGGAGGCGAAAAGACCATACGACGGCAAGGAAAAAAGCATGCAAAAATTTCATCAAAGAAGAAAGCACTTTAATTTCCTGATGTAGCTTTTTCTGTGTGTTCTCATTCCGCGATATGACACTGGCACTCCAATTTTGCTTATCTTATTGTCAAATATACTTAAGAATTTCAAAAGAATAAATTGATTGATTCTATGATAGTCACAATGTAAAATGTACCATTTTTCGATAAATCATTGACACCAATGTGTGATCGCTGCTAGTGTCATCCAAATATGCCAAAATATGTTAATTTAATTCTGAATGAAGAAAATATTCATGAACCCTTTGTCATTTCCTTCATTTAAGGAGATTTATACTTACATAATGGGATTTTTATCAAATTAAAGTTTCATAAATTTTCAGTGACCCCAAGAACTTTTGTAGAGAAAGTAATATCAACATATGTGCTATGTGGAACAATTCTTTGTAATCCTAATTATAATAGTTATTCATGAACTAAAATGACCATAGGGTATAGTCTCAAAGTTTTACTTATTTTAGGTAAATGACACTTTCCCATTTTAGTAATATTTTATGAGAAAATAGGGTGAGATATGAAAATAAAGTTTTAAATTTCTAACTTACCATGTCATAAAAATGATTATATAATGCCAAACTCTGTGGGTTATTTTAGGTATCTTGTCTTAGTGAATAAAAGGGAATGGAAATTTGAAAACATCAGACGTATGTGTACATGACAAATCCCAGGCATTACATGCCATTTGTTAAGGTGGAAAACTTTCTCCTTTACTACAGCTGTACTGAGATCTGCTTTTAAACAACCAACTGCCTATTAAAAAAAGAAAAAGATTACATTTTTATTAATATATGTGTTCCCAAATAAATCAAACATTGGATATTTCCTCGTGAAGATGATGAAATACGTAATAAGGTGGTTTGATTTTCTTTTTAAAATTTTCAATAATTTTAAATGTTTATTTTTGAGAGAGACAGAGCATGAGGTGGAAGGAGGGAAAAGAGAGAGGAAGACACAGAATCAGAAGCAGGCTCCAGGTTCTGAGTTGTCAACCCAGAGCCTGATGCAGGGCTTGAACCCACGAACCAGGAACTCATCACCTGAGCCAAAGTCGGTTGCCCAACTGACTAAGCCACCCAGGCGCCTCTGATTTTCTTTTTATAAATAGGACAAAAAATTTACTAAAGAAAGAATAAAATTATTTTCAAAAAGGACACAAGATCCCTATACTTAAAAATTTATTAAGTTATTTCATAATCATCCTAAATTATTAATTCACTTTGTGTCTGGTTAATTCTCAAGCACATTAAATTGAAAAAGTGAAGGCTTCTCATTGTAATTGGCAAGAGTTAAGTTGCATCTAGAACACTTTATTGAAAGAATTGTGGCAAATTGTACACTACATGGTTTTAATATAATTTATTTTGACCATAAAATTAATATATATTCATAATTAGGAGAACACTGTGAAATTATTGCTCACTATATATTGAACAAATGGAACAGTCATTATAAAGTAGAAGCTCATCAAAATCAGGTTCCAGTAAGCCCCTATTGAGCCTCTAGAGGACTAGCAGACGGAGGCATTTACCTTAGGGTGGGAAGCAGTACCAGCTAGTTCATTATGGAGTCTCTGCTGTGAATTGGAGCTGGACCTTAGAGCACCCCACATTGGGGCAACATCTATATGTTCACAGTGAGATCATCTGGTCTACAGGGAGTATGAAATGGGCTCACTTACCCAAAAGGGGTGGGGGGGAGTAGTTTTAAAACCTTACTTAAGTGCAATGTAATCATTTTTAAAAAGTAATGTCAGATTTTTAAAAGCTCCATTTTAAATATACAAAAAAACAATTTAGTTAAAAAAACCTTTTTGTTATATAATAAAAATCTTCTAGCCTGTGCTTATGTGTATGAAGGAAAAGGTACACAATGAGACATGTATGGGTATATATCTCCTTGTACAACACACACACAGACACACACACACATGTGTATATGTATATAATAAAATGTCACCCACAAATTATACTAAATGAATATATTTCAAATATATATATTTAATATACTTTAAATTTACACTGTAAATTGTAGCTTGAATTAAAATTTATGATAATACAATATTGTGTTTATTTTTGATACCATTGATAAAAAAACTAACAGGACTAAATTGCTACTTGACATTAGTGGAGCACCTACCTATTTGAAAAATATTATTCTGATGTTCATCAGTTACCAATAGTATTTAACACTTTCCTTTACAGTGGAATGATTAGCCCTTGTGATTTGTTCTAATGTGGGCTATTTGAATGAGAAAGATAAAAAATGAACAAAATACTTAGATAAATCTCTATTTCTCATGTAAATTAGGGTTAGGTGCATGAGATTTATTCATCAAATTCTAGTTTTTACTAGAGCACATTTTAATAGCAGAATGCTCCATTATGAGTTAACCCCTCCAGTGCCTTGGGATATGTGTGTATGTGTGTGTGTGTACACATTACACATGTATGCATACATATGTATGCAAATTAAAGTGTTCGTTATAGTGTACATAGTGCAAGCTCAAAGGGAATATTCTATTATAGGTACTTAGGTCAGAGAAGGGAGTTCAAATATCATTTGAAATATTTGCTAACTACTATAATAATGTATTTTGCCTGATAAAGAATAACAATTCATTTAAGCTGAAGTATATTAAAGCAGGGACATTTTTTAATTTGTTATACTGCAGCAAGTCTTTATTTCAAAAATACTTTAAGATAATATAAGTGTAATGTGTACCCTAACATTTACCATTGAATACTATTTTAAAGGGAAAATAACCACCTGATCATTTTTGCCCATTTTTCAGGCAGGTACCAACTTAGAGTTTTAAAGTCTTTGCTCACAAAACTGTCATGAAGCAAGAAGAAAATTAATTACTTGAAAATAAATATCAAGTTCATATTAACCATGAATGCAGAGAAATTTTCCTTTGGGTGCATTGGTGTATAGATCGACATTTCCCTCATTTACAATGACAAAGTTTATTCATACACTGTTTACATGGAATGCTGGGTTTGAGAGAAGCTTGGTTTATTATTGTGAAAAAGTAATAATTCTAACGAGTTAGAATTACTGCTAGAAATCAGCAGGTGGAGAAGCTTTAAAAGCACAAGGACGATCTTGTGCTTAACTTTTTAAGGTAAGTGTACACGTTCTGATATTAATAACAAACATTTTGCTACTCTTAATAGCGCTATACTCATGAGCTCTTCTAAGGAATTGCTTTATTCATACCTCTAAACTCTTGTTTATGATTTATTCTTATTCCTTAATACTTTAAAGTCATAAGTCACTTATTTGCACATTTGAAGTTGCTTTTGAAAATAAATAAAATATTATAAATGTTATATATTTTATACATATTAAAAATGCAATGAAAATACCAGAAATATGAAATGTAAATATATTTATTTCATTTTTAATTGTTTTGGTGGATGTTTGTAAAATGTAAATTAATATCTGTGACAAATGACTTGTCACTTCATTCTTTCAGTTCATTAATGTACTACTGATAAAACTGTACCTTTTCTAATGAAGCATACTGGAAAATAAAAGCAAATACTTTTTACTACCTTTGTATTTTTACTTCTTGGGGTTGATCTGTAAGCTTCACGTGTGTTTAGAGCATGATCCTGGGGACTTAACCACAATGAACAGGGACAAATGTGAGCTATCAGCTTGGGGTGCAGACCCCTTGGGGCATAATCTGTTCTGGTGCATGATTATTTACCAAGATTACACATCTGACCTCTAAAGGCCCTAAAGATGGAAGAAAGATACTATTTGCCAAATTACTTAAACACCCAGAATAATGGCTTTTGAAAACATGACACCTTTGGTATTTTCACAGTGGTGCGTGGAGAGCCGAGTCTGCAGGGAAAGGACTGGTCTGACAGTCGTCATCATCTGGCCATTTGTAACTGAGGAGCAGCGCGTCACATATGTCATGCGAGACCACAGCTGTCTGTCAGGTAACTTTAGTGCCATAAGCGAGAGCGATCACAGAAATCGCTCAAGACAATTCTCATATCTATATTATTCTAGTTGTTATATGAACATCTCTCATCTTTGATATTCTCTTTTCCTGTTCTGAAAAGAAAAAACTGATGAAAAAATAGCGCGTGCCCATCATAAGTAATTTAAGCAATGAAAAAATATTACAAAGTAGATATTATATTAAGTCTTACCACCACAAAATAAACACAGTTCATCTTAGATAAATATTATATATACATCCTTATTTATATAGAGGCAAAGAGAAATATAATTAGTTGATAATAAAGATGTATAGGTGCATGGATTTAAATGCTTCTATAAATAAATTCCTTCAAAAAGTACAATATAAAATAAATAGGTAACCGTGTTTTGGGGGAATCTATGAACAATAATAGCAAAATGTGGATTTTTAAAAGTTGACTACCTATTAGTAAAAAGTAGAATCATAGTATATTTTAAAAGGATCAGGACTGAGACGCCTGGGTAGCTCAGTTGTGGAAGTGTCCGACTTCAGCTCAGGTCAGGATCTCAGGGTCTGTGGGTTCGAGCCCCGCGTCGGGCTTTGTGCTGACAGCTCAGAGCCTGGAGAAGTCTTCAGATTCTGTGCCTCCTTCTCTCTCTCTGCCTCTCCATGCTCGCACTCTGTCTCTCAATAATAAGTCACCATTTTAAAAAAATTTTAAAAAGGATCAGGACCTCAAGAATATTCTTTTTTTAATTTTTAAAGATTCATTCACATTTAAATACAAAAGTATCAACT